GACGAAGCTATAAAATAAACATGTTTTTGAAACAATTTTAGAGTGAATTTTTGCGCTTTCAAAACATGAAGTACGCAGAGATATATCCTTGTTGTCCCCGTCATTTTTCTCTAAGACAGTAACAAAAAACTACCTTAGTCGTCTTCATTTTCACCTCGCAATATATTCACGTCTCCATGCGTTACCACATTAGCAACAATATTATAAATTGGACTCACCAGCCATCTTGGAGACTCTGGAACGAAGAACAAACAAACAGTCTGCACTATGTTTGGAATAGTAGCTGAAAACAAGATCACATTAACTCAATTAATACTCTATCATAAACAAATTAATGTTGTTTAATCTCAGAAAGAAAGATGATAAAAATTTCATACCAAGTAGAGACAAGGCACGCCAACCTACAATACTTCCAGCGAAAAATGTTACTGCAAAGCCGCAGCAAACTAACAACTATATAGATGAAAAAATAAGGTTCCATTAAAAAAGGGGGGGGAAACTCCTTGATTTTTCATTGCATCCAATAATTTAATTTAACCTGAGTAGCCGAAGTAAATCTTCCTCTAAGATTCTTCGGTGTTATTTCTGAAATATATACAGGTACCTGTTACAAAAAACGCAGGCTGCATTATACCTCACAGAGAGATGGTGATCAGACATGAAATGGAAGCTTGTGAAATCAGTACCACATAAGTAAGAATCCCTATGGCGACTCCAACTACGAATCTTCCAATGTCCACACACCAAGCATTCTTTAGACAAGAATTCAAACACTTGTTGGCTCCATTAGACATGTATTACGTGATTAAGATAGAAAGACAGAATTTGACGGGGGGAGAGGAAATAAAAACCTGAGCAGATGCTATTGCTAGCCAGCCTGCCATGCAGACTATTTGGCATATCCACATTGTCTGCTTGACATAAAAATTACAGCAAATTAGAAAATAATTTAGGGCATGATAATATTAACTCTTAACGTTTAAACTGAAAGGGTGAAGTTGTCAAGGAGATTACTCCTCTTCGACCGATGAGATCTGCCATCTTCCCACTTAAGATTGCACCTATCATTCCTCCTATGGTCACTATCGAACCAAAAACTGAGTACTGCAGGTTTTACGAAAAAAACAGAACCCATCAAGCCAAGAAAATGTAGGACGCTGCAAATGTAATACAAGGAAGTAAGAAAATCTTGCTACAAAAAAAGTATAAATTAATTAATTAATTCAAATCAAATAAAAAAATGTAATTAATTTAAATATTCCAGTAAAAGTAATGAATGGTCACATAGAATACCAAAACTAAATATTTATCAATGTTTACAAGCATTTAAGTAACTTTCTTGTTCATCATCAAAAAGATGGGATGAAGGGTTTTTATTTTAAAAATATATAAATATACTCTAAAATTATCTGAAAAAAAATTATTTCTATATTTTTATCTGTGTTACTTATATCCTGAAACACTCACAATTGGGATTGAGATGATTTCAATAAGGAAAGAATGATATGATGTTACTATATATGAACAAAAGTGCTAAATGCACTCTTCACTAGCAAAAAAGAGAGAAAGCTGGTGAATTGGAATAGTTAGTGCTAACTGCAGCAACAGAGAGGCCTAAATCTTCCATGATTCCAGATTCTGCTGGAGATGAATAACCCACCTGACAAGAAATTCCAATAATAATAATGTATTATTATTATTATTATTATTAACAAGGAAAATGATATGGTAATGAGCAATACTTTCTCCACATGATTGTCTTTGTAAAAAAAAATTCAATTAATTTTTTAAAATTTTATTATTTAATATTATATTTATTTTTTATTAGGTTGTCTGATTGCAGGTTTGGCAAGTTAACCTCATTGGTTATGTTTTTTTTTCTTTCTTATTTAACATTTTTTTCTTCAATTTTTTTCTTTAATATTACATTAATTAGAAATTAGGTTTCATAATTTATTTATTTATTTTTTATTAGGTTATTCCGATTTCATGACCTAAGAATAATGTTTAATAGATTAACACGAATTGATTTGGGTTTTTTTAATTTTTTTAATTGATTTTTTTTAATTATCATTTAATATTAGGTCGGTTAAGAATTGAACTTCACAATCTATTTTAATTTGTTTTCTATAGGGATATCTTGATCTTATGATTAGAATAACAAGTTTTGATATTTTAACCCCAATTAAATCATGTTATTTAATTTATTTTATTTTCTTTTTAAGGTTATTTCAATCTCATATCTTTTAACATTAATTTTTTTTTATTGGTTTGTCCATGTCTAATGACTTGAGTTGTGATTTAATAGGTCAATCTAATTGATTAATTTTTTTAATTGACTTTTTTTCTAATTTAATATTGTATTTAATTGAGAATTAGATTTCATAATTTATTTTAGTTTGGTTTTTATGAGATTATCTCAATCCTATAACCTGAAAATAGTGTTTAATAGGTTAGCTCAAATTGACTTGATTTATTTTTTATATCATTTGTTTAATTAATTTTTTTACAGATTTTATTGTTCAATATTAAGTTTGATAGGATCAATTGAAAATTAAATTTTATAATTTATTTTAATTGCTCTCTATATGGCTATCTCAATTTTATAATCAAAATTGTGAATTTGAAAAGTTAATCTAAATTAAATAAGTTATTCTTTAAATTTTTTCTATGTAATTATCTCGGTCTCATGTCATGAGTTGGGCAAATTATCTTCATTATTTTTTATATTTTTTAATTAATTGTTTTTAAATCTCATCCTTCAATATTTGGTTCATTAGAAATTTAAATTTTTTAACTTGTTTTGATTTTTTTTCATGAGGTTATTTTAGTTTTATAATTTAAATTGCGAGTTTAACAATTATAAAAATTACTAATAATACTAAACACACACTTATACACAAAAATTTAACCAATCAACATGCTAATATAAAATTTAGATTTCTTAATCAGTCACAAAAATATCTGTTGAAATTACATTGAAGTACCATAAATATTGATAAATCTCAATTGACAAGAGAGCATAGTTTTAAAATCCAACCCGGCCTAACAGGTTGACTTGGGACCCGGTAGTTTCAAGGTTAGAACTAGGTCGGGTTGAAAAAAACAAGAAAAGAAAAAATTTAATGTAACCCAGTTGACCTAGCAAAACTCGGTCGAAAATCAAATTACAATTCATTAACTTTTGTTACACGTAAAACTTAGAATCCAAACTTTAAACCAGGCTGCTTACCAAATCATGTCTAAAAACTATGCAAGAGAGGCCATTAATTTGGCTTTGGACTGGACTAATATAAATTTGTAGTCATTAGTGACACTTGGCTTGGATTTTTCTTCTACTATTTAATTTTTTTAAAAAAAACGATAACATAATAAAAACATAAATGTTTTAAAAAAAGAAGCTAAATTTAAAGTTCAATTAGCTCTAAGTTTTTGCTAATATTGATCATTGATTATAAACAAAACAGCACGTATGAATCCTGACTTTGCCACTACTATAGACACACACACACTTACAGAACATCCATAGCTGAATGAACCACAGAGAGCAACGAAGGTGCTAAAGACAAGAAGAGGAGTGATGGAGTGATCGCCGGTTGGCTCGCTGCTTTCACCGGTGCTGTTTTCAGCAAGAAGTAGAGGGCTTGTTGCTGATCCCAGCCCTTCTTCTACGCCGTCCCGCTCCATTATTTTGGTTTCTGGGCAACAAAGAAGGGTAGACAAGACAGGCTGCTGAGCTTCAAACGTTGGAAATAAAAAGAGAATATTGCGTTTAGGAAAGCTATAATTGAGAAGTCATTTTCACGTTCAGTCTACTGGAGCTTTATTTTAAATGGATATTAAATTACAAAAATTAAGCCATGTCCATACAGAGTTCAGCTACTTCTTAGTGCTCCTCATATGATATTACGAGTTGCAGAAATTTAAAATTGGTGTGGTGGGGAGGTAGGGCCCAGGGTTTGATCAAGTTTTTTTTAGATTAATGTGGGTGTCTGGGTCAGCTTGCGCGTACCACGACTAATCCCACGGGCCCTGAAATTAACGACCATGTAAGCCTCCAGTGACCATCATATGAGCAACCAAAAATTCGAACCTGAGACCACAGAAAAAGCAAACCCCTTGATCCTAAGTCCTTACCACTTGGTCACCACCTAGATGGTTTGATCAAGATTTTTTTTAATACTATTGGTGCACTATCTTTTTTAAAGTTGGTTTGTTTGATGAAGGTTCGATTATATTTTTTTTTAATTTTAAGTTTTTTTATTTTAAATTATTATTTTTTATTTTTTTGGATTGTTTTAATATATTGATGTTAAAAATAATTTTTTTAAAAAAAATATTCTAGTGAAAATAAAAAATATTTTAAAAATAAATTAGATTTAAAACAAACTATAACTTATTTTAAACCTAAGTTTTTTTTTAAATTATAATCTATAAATTATAATATTTTTTTAAATTAGTTGAAATTGAATTTTCAATGTAACTTGAAAAAACACTATGAGAAATTCATGAGATAAATAATTTATGTTGGTTTATTAAAATAAATATTTTATGGTTAGTTATGGGGATAATTGGTTGAATGACTGTTTAATTATTTATATTTAATTTTTTTTAAGAGTATTGATAATGAGAAAATCTTATAATGTTTTCAACATATAAATTTCAGAAGGTGTAATTGTTCATTTTCAAAAAAAAATAAAATTTTATGAAGCATCTTTTTATAATATATATAAATTCTTCTATTAGAAACTTATAATTTTTGGATTCTGTGATCTTAATTAATTTAGTTATCCACTTTTATTATTTTTCCGTTCCATCCATGAGAATGTCAATAATAATAATAATAATTTTTTTTAAAAAAAAAAGTAAACTTGAAATTAAATCCTTATTTATACTAGACTAGTCTTGGATCTAAAATTCTTGGAGAAACAGGATGAAAATTGGAATGAAGATTTCTAAACTAAACAAATATTAGAAAATCTTAACACCTAATAAAATAATTATGCCAGAGAAACAAAAACACTCCCCGCGTCATTTGATATCTTTATCAGTGCACATAGCTTATTTATTACAATTTAGTAGACATAAGTTATTAACGTTGCTTGTATCTCTTCCAATGAACGTCCTTTAGTCTCTGGCACCATTATCCAAGTGAATAGAAATGCCATGGCAGACATGCTAGCGAAGAAGAAAAATGTTCCTGCCAATAATAATCACAATATATTAATTAATTAATTAATTATATATATATATATAGTACCCAAGTATAAATGATGGTGCGTATGGAAATTAGAAAGAGAGAGGGAATCAGCGACCTGCTGAGTTCCATTCCAGCATAAAATTAAATGCAAATGTCACAAGCCATGAGCAGGACCAATTGACTAAAGTCACCAAGCTTCCAGCTGAGGCCTTGATGTTTATTGGGAATATCTACAATATTATTCACAATAACCCTTGAGCAGTGATACAAATCATTTTCCCATCACTTCGTTTTGTCAAAATATAAATATATAATCTTGTTTTTTTTTTTTGTATTAAAAACATTTCTAAAAAAATTAATTTTTTTTTCTTTACTTCAGTTTTTTATATTTTTCGATCGTTTTAAGGTTGATATCAATAATAAATTAAAAAAATATATTATTTTAATATTAAAAAAACACTTCAAAATATAACCGGCAAGCTCTAACTACGAGATCAAGCTTAAGAGAATTACACATACCTCTGACATTATAACCCATGGTATTCCTGACATGCCTATTGCAAAAGCATAAGAAAATCCCTGATTGCAAAATTTATCAATAAGCACATTAACTTTATGGAGTGCAATTCTCAAGGAATTTGGCGAGAAACTAACAAGTTCGTTTATTAGATTTAAACATTGTGATTAGCGATTCATTCTTAACTCCATATATTTATATTGATTGTTTGTTTTTTATAGGAGATATTTATTTAGTTTGTTTATGGAGATATTGTTAATTAATAGATAGAATTATACCAGTACTCCAAGAAACACCATCAATGGAGTGAACTCCTTGGCATACTGGTGTTCCTGTTTAACAAAAAAAGGAAAAGGAACCCATTATTATTTCCAGAATGCAACTCAAAAACAGCAGATACATGTAAAGAAATATATTTAAATTTATTTGAACCTGTAGGTAGAACGATAACCCCATGATTGACAGACACAGGCATGATGCAATAGAAGAAACCTGAGCCAAGTAGATTTTAATACAGTGTTGGTGCTCGAGTACAGCATCCAAGTCAAAATGAATCCATCGTTGCAGTTCTAACCATAAGAAGAGCTCGTCTTCCAAATGCATCCATCAAGAGCACTCCTAAAACAGCAGCAGGCATCTACGAACAATATTTGCACTAATTAAAAGATATATATAAAAAAAGGAACCCTGCATTCATGATTGCAAAGAAGCAAGAGGAATACGGTGTTCATGTGTGAATACCTGTAAGAAGGCTATTGCTGTAGGTCCAATGGTAGTTGAGACATCTATGCCAGACAAATAAAAACTATTATTCTGGGATTTCTCTTTGCATTAATTCCTTGTAAGTTAATAATCAATGATCAGTTGTTCATATATTTTAAGAGAGAGACTTACTAGCTTTAGCAAACACTGTGCTAAGATAAGCTGCAAACACACTGTTCCCTCCCAATTGTTGAAGTAACATTAACCCTACTCCAATCTAAGTTAGTTGAAATTGTGTTTATCAGTCAGCATAATGAAATGAGATGATATTTGATTGAAAGAAAGATGACAGATCGATTAATGAATTAATTTGTAACTCAACTTGTATTGATGTTCCTATGTTAAATTTAAAGACTCGGGAATAAGAAAAAATAATCAGAGCAGAAAATAAAGCTGCAAATACAATATTGTTGTTGTTATTGTTGTTTTAATTTCTTATCTCAAGAATGCCATTTATATTGTTACAATATAATGATTAACTAGCAATATTAGAAAATTATAACTAGGAAATAGTTGATTTAACATCAGTTCCTACTTTACAAAGAAAGTCCAAGTATGCTTGGTATTGTAATGCGATGCCTATTTAAAATTAAGGTTGAATCTATTTTTTGTCAAAGTTAAAAAAAATTTATGTTTTTTAAATTATTTTGATGTGTTGATGTTAAAAAATATATTTAAAAAAATATATATTATTTTGATGCATTTTCAAACGAAAAAACATTTGAGAAGCAATCTATATCACATTTTCAAACACCCTTATATAATGCTTTTAAAAAATGCTTTTTTGCTAGAAAATACATTACAGTAATTTTATATATATACATCAAAACTATTGAAAAACACTAAAAAGTGTCTCAACTTAATTTTTTTTCAAGTGAAATGCACAAAAAAACAGAAGATCCTAAAGTTCCCAGTAGAAAAACTCAACTCATGCTAGCACTCTAATCCCAAAAGGTCTCAATTGAGGAGAAGAAGAAGAAGAAACTTATCTTAAACTTACCATAACTGGATAAGCATATTTCTTTTGAAACAAGCCTTGAAATCCAGCTTCACCGCGTTGGAAATTTTCTGTAGCATCCTACAACAGATGTAGGAATCGCATGTCAGCTCCTTGAGAAATACAAGAAGAGTAATGCTGGGATACTAATATTTCTTACTAACCAATCATGTGACATTTAACATTTAAAATGATCCTTGTCATTAAAATTGATTAATTTTGTATGCTGTATGGGAATATCGACGCTATAGTTGTTGCCTAAAAAAAAATAATTTTTTCAATTTCATCCCTATTGTACATCATTATATTTCCCTTAACAATGGTTAGCAACAATCGTTAACCCCTCAAATTACTAAAACAAGCCTCAAAATCATGAAGAATATTTCCAGAAAATCACTTTATGTTTAGATGGATTTGGATTTCAGGAGTTTTCTGAATTTTTTTCATTATTGATTTTATGGAATTTGGTTTGGTTAACAACAGTTATTTTCTTTATTGAAAGATTAATAAGAAAGTGAAGGACAAAAACAGAGGTAGGAAGAACACATGAGGCTAAAAGCCAAGGATCAAACCAAAAAAAAAACAAGTAACAAAAGATACTTTAATACAATCTAGATTTTTAAGACAAGAAATATTACTTTGATTTCAATAGCTTCTTGAGAAAAACCGGCGTCCACTCCTCTAAGCCGTCGCAAAGCATCTTCAAACTCTATTTCCTTGCCAATTGATGCCTATAGCAGCAAACACTTAGATTACCTTTATTGTCTCAAAATGGGAATATATATATATATATATGATCACAAAATGAACTTACTAGCCATCTTGGAGACTCTGGCACGAAGACTAAACCGACAACTTGCATTAAACATGGAATTATAGCTGGGATTCAACAAGATTTAGGCACAAGTAAATTAACAATAATAAAATGCTTAATCATTTTAGAAATAAAACTCCAATAATGAAATAATTAATTAAATCAAATTGCGAAACATTACCTAATAGAGACACGGTGCGCCATGAAAAAAAGTTTCCAAGGAAAAACACTGCTAAGAGGCCAGAACAGTTCATCAACTGCAAACATGAAGAGTTAAGTCATTGAAAAAGAAGGAAATGAAAGAAGGCTTTGATGACCCATTTAGGGATTGCCTGCATTTCAAATTGTTCTTCAATTAAAAAAACATCAAATTAATGTTTCCTTAAGTTTTCTTGGATGGTTTTAATATCAAGAACACAAAAAAACAAAAAACAAAAAACAAAAAAACATTAGTTTAACATGATATTAATTGAAAAACATTCTTTAAAAACAAACACCGTGTACCACAATACCAAACACGTTTTTAATTAACCTTACCTGAAGAGTCACTACAAATCGACCTCTAATATTTTTAGGTGTTATTTCTGCAATATATACAGGTACCTGTAATGAACAATATTCATATAGTTAATTACGAGTTAAATGGAAATGTTAATCAATATGTAATGCAAATTTAAGTACAATTACCACATAAGCAATAAGTCCAACTGCGAATCCAATTGATACTCTTCCAATATTGACCCCCCAAACATTCTTTAAACAAGGATTCAATAAATATTGTTAGTGAACCACAGTAATGATACAGAGTATAAAGCAACTGCATGCATAAAACTGTTAGTAAAGCTCATTTGACTAAAATTAAGATTGTACGAAGGTGTTTGTTTCCACGGTAGCTTATGCTTCTGGAAGTGTTTTTTTGCTTGAAAGACATCAAATTGATGTTTTTTCAAGTGTTTTTGAAAGGTTTTGACGTGTTAAAGAGCATTATTTTAATGGGTTTTCAATTGAAACACTTTGCACTGCTATTGATGTTGTAAAGTTCATGAAACACAATAAGAGGTGGAAGGAGGGGGGCTATACCTTAGCAAATGCTATTCCAAGCCATCCCATGATGCAAAATATCTGGGATAACCACATTGTCTGGTTGAAATGATAAACAACAATTAAATGGAAGAGTTGAGGATTAGCTAATAATCATGAAGGTTTAACAACATTCTTGCTAGACAGATACTTAAGAAGGTTAGTATTCAGAGAAGTACTCGTTTTCGGCCAACAAAATCCGCCATCTTCCCACTTAAAATAGCACCTATCGCAGCTCCTACTGTCATTATTGAACCAAAAAACGAGTACTGCAAAATATAAGGAAACAGAACAAGCCAGGTGAAAAAAAAGAGAGATTAAAGATACATTTGAGGTTGCCATAGAATGCCAATTGCAAATAAAAATAAAACTAACCGCAGCAATAGACATGCCTAAATCTTCCATCATTTCAAATTCTGCAGTCGATGTGTAACCAGCCTGACAAGCAATTTCAATAGAAGTCAATGACTCAATGTAATGGATGATTTCGTTCTCTCTCTTTTTTTTTCTTCTTTTTTTTTGATTTACGTGGGGTGTCCGGGCCAGCTTGCGCGCACCACGACTAATCCCCACGGCCCACTGAATACCCTGCAAACCCAGTAGGCATGTAAGGCACCGCGGGGATGACAAGCATGCACGCCAGGGCTCGAACCCAGGTGCAGTGGAAGGAGACAAGCCCCTTCCACCACTAAACCAAGCACTGGTTTGCTCTTCTTTTGCTTTCTTAATCCAATGTTAGATTACAGTGATATCTTCACCTTTCAAGGTTTTTAACATGCCAAAAACCATAAATTTCAACTGTTAGAATCTTATTACTAAAGACAATTGCATTGGTTTTTAATATAATTTGATATTAGTGTGAATCGAAAGTAAATCAATTGAAAAGGGAATCGCCTGGAAATAATATTAATTTTAATCTATAGTCTGGCATGACAAGTCAAATTTTTTTATATAGAAACAGCTTTGTTTTAAAAATTTTATTTATAAAATAAAAAATAATGATTAAATCAACTCATATAAACTCACCTGATCTACATCTGGGTCTTGGTTTAAGTCGACCCAGTCGGGATCTTATAACTATCCTTTAAGATAGACAAGAAATCTGATCCGAAAAAATGAAAGTTATTGGACTCATTAACATGATTTAAAAAGCTTCTAAGAAAATGCGTTGGCGTGTATTTTATATTTTCAAAAGAATATTTTTTTTGAAAAACTATTAAATTAATTTTTTTTATTTTTTTGTAATAATTTTAGTATCAAAAATATAAAAAATATATAAAAATATATATTTTAATATATCTTCAAATAAAAAATATATTTATACAGAAACCATAGTTTCTATCCAATATAAAACCTATCGGATGCATCCAATGTTCATTATTATTGAATATAATGAGGAACGTTTCAGTTCTAGAGATAGAGCTGTTAAGCTGGAGCGGACCAATTTAAAAATTATATATAAAACATTAAGAGTGTGAATTTTTTTAATAATATTATCAAACCTAATAAATAGATTAAATTTAAAATTTTTCAATTTGTTTTTTTATCTAACTTGAATTTCTAATTAAACCATACAAAAATTAACTCAAATTAAATTAGTTAATTTTATAAATTTAAAAATAATTTTAATAAATAGTAAAACTATGGTTTAACTTTTAAATAAATCTTTAAAATAATAGTTTTTCAAAAAGATCATAGAAACAATGACATATTAATGATATAATAGATCGATCTCATACCCTTGTGCCTTGTATTATAAATTCTATTGAATTTATGTTATAAATTTTATTAAATTTAATAACTTTTTATAAATTATTTTTATTTAATTATATAATAAAAATATATACTTATAAAATTATATAACAATCTAAAAATAGACATTTAATTTAAGATAATGATAATCCTATAAAAAAATAAAAATAAATTATACAATTTATTTTTTAATCAATACAATATTAAATAACATAATAAACAAAATTAAAGAATAAAAAACAAAATGAACATATATGATGAGTGGGAAAACTCGTTAAATTTATAAATTTAATAAATCAATCTAGCATAATTAAGATTAATAAAATATATATTAAGATATTAAATATTATAATTTATATAATACGAGTTATTTAATAAATTTATTTTTTTAAGATCAATTTGTGATAAAAATAAAAATATATAAAATTTATTATATTATATTTGATTGTTTTTTTTTTAATTTAAACTTTCTTTTATATGTGGCTTCTTATCGCTTCACAGTTATGCCGACAACTCGTTTTGCCCATCTTTTGATATATCAAAGATCATTAGAGAGAGAGAGAGAGCATAGCATCATTTGCTTGATCAAAATATTTCTTTCCATTTGCATTTTGTGTTTGCAGAGTTTCAATCGACCCCTATAGTCTTATACTTTACAATTAAGTCCCTTTACTTCATCGTAATACAATCATCCTAGCCATGTCATTAAGCTTTCATTCAACTTCTATTAACTATTCTCGAGTTTGATATTCAAATACTTTTGAAAATTTAGGTGATTAATAAAAAAATTATGCGGTGATTAAAAATGATCGATCCATACCTTAATCAGAGATTAAACAACAAATTACCATTGTCAGACCTATAGGAAATAATTCAAGTGACGTGAGATTAGCTTTCTATATAACTTATGTATGAAATTATACCTATTTCTTGACAGAAAAAAACACTTGCAATCTACCCAGATTTTTAAACAAAGTAAAGGGCTTTTCTTTTTAGAGTGGGAAGAAAGAAACTACTCAAATCCTTGCTTTGCTGGTGCGTAAAAACTAGAATTGGGACTTACAGCAAATCCGAAACAGAAGTTGCCGCATAAGGCAACAATGGCGCCAAGGAAGAGAACCGGAGTAAAGGAAGAATCGCCCTTTGGTTTGTCACTGTTGATGAAGTTCCTCTCACCAAGAAGCAGGGGCCTTTTAGTACTTGCCAGCCCTTCTTCCATGCACTCTTTCTCCATCTCCTGTCTCCTGGGAACTCAGAAAGAAGCAACGAAAACAGCAGTATCTTTTGGAAACTTAGAAGTAGGATTAGGAAAAGATATTAAAAAAAAAAAAGGCAATTATTTTGCAGACAAGCTATCCAGCTATAACTTGTATAGAATCTGTTGTATGGAGAGTTGTTGGGGTATCACAATCAAAGGAAGTGTTAAGATATCGTAAAATACAATTAATTGTAGTCCCTCAGTTTTAGTAGATTGGACATATTAGCTCCTCTTCTTCAGTTTTGGTGACCCAAGACCCTATATTACTTTCGGTAATTGGCCCAATGGTCACTTGTGGTTCCTTTATCTATACTATAGTTTTAAAACCCAACTAAATAAGGTCTAGGTCACGGTTGAGAAGAGTAGTTAAATTCCAATGAATTCAAAAAGAATTTTTATAAAACTAAAATTATATTATTTTAATAAAAATTAAAAAAAATATATAGTTAGTGAGTTGATGGTTAGATTTTGATAAAATCAATCATGTTTTTAATCGAGTATACCAAATTTTTTTATTTTGTTATTTATAACTTGTTCAAGTCTCATACTAGTTAGGTCATGAATCTATCTATCATGCCTTTTTAATTCTATTATTGGATGTTTTTTATTTTCATTGTTCTCAATAACACCAACACCAATATGGTCATGGTGGATTTTGATAGGTTATAGAGGGGCTTTAATATTTTTATTTTTTATTTTTTTCTTTGTTTTTGAAGATGGGAAAAATTGTTTTTTTTATTTCACCAATAAGATTAAGGGATTATGAATTGATTTCTTCACCGTTTAACGTGGCTGAAAGCACAAGGTCTTGTGTGCACCGAAATTGAGGGGCTAGAAAAACTAATTTCCAAAACTCAAAGGATCACGAATTGATTTCTAAAAGAATCTAGACAAAGGGATTTTCTTTATTTTTTTTAAGAAAGCGAAAGGGGAGTCTTACTTAGACTCAATTTGACTTTGAGAGCATGTTTTGATTTTATTTTGAAAGAGGTGGCTAACTGGTGTCTTGTCTTGGAACACATTTACGGCTACCTTAGATGCGTAGGATAAGATGGGAGCGGACACAACTGCTTAGAACAATCCACTTGTTTACAGTTTAAAGAGGGGTGAGGCTGCGAGCATGAGATGTGGAGTCACAGTACATCGTAGTCGCAGCATCACAGGATAAATTAATATTTTTTTATTATTATTTTTTAAAATATTTTAATTTAAAATCTATTAAAATAATACTCTTTTTATTTTTAAAAAATTAATTTTGAAATTAGCGTGTTAAAATAATCTAAAATTTTTACTTGGAAATATATCAAAATATTTTTTTTAAAAAAAAATATTTTTGATATTAGTGCATCAAAATAATATAAAAATATAAAAACAATTAATTTGAAGTAAAGAAAAAAATAAAAAAAAATAAATTTTTTCAAAAATATTTTTAAAATATAAAAATAAAAAAAAATCAATACTAAAAAAAAAAACTAAACAGCTTGATATTTCAAGTCATGTTTTTTTAAAAAAATTATGTGAAAAATAACATACTTTTAAACAAAAAGAATGGATGAAATAGCTTAATTTGTATATATCAACGTGACATTTTAAACTTGTTGCTGTTCCAAATCGTTATTTCAAAGAAAAAATTATGTAATGGATTGCACATGAAAAAAATAAAAAATAAATAAAAAAGATGTTATAGGAACACTGAAGCTTAGATTACTATACCACCACTGTTATTAAAAATATATGATTGAGATGAATTTAACAACGTTAAAAAAAATCATTAATAATAACTTAAATGTATTACATTTGTCATCAGATCGTGTGTGCTCAATTTTCTTAGACGTCAAGAGTGTTGTACTCGGATCACAATTGATAACCTTTTTTTATCATTAGATTTACTTCTAAGATTTTTTAATGATATCAATGGTGTTTTTATCAAAACCTTGGCATGTATTTTAGTTTTTTTCTTTTTATCTTACCTTACAAATTAGAAATTTAATAACACCGATAAAGATTATCAACAATTACTTAAATAGATCATATTTCTTGCCAAAACTAGTAAGTCATTTGCATGTTTGGGTGAAAAGCATATGTATATCACACTCAAGTTATCATTAGTAACATTTTTTATTGTTATTAGATTTTTCTCGTTAAAATGTTTTTAATGATACAAGTGGTATTATAATATGAGTTTTGATATAACTCTAAAATCTTTTTGTTTTCTCTTTTTTATATTCAGCTCATTTCAATTTTTTATTCTTTATAAATGTCACGACTCTAATTAACAATAAATTTGAAATTGTGTGTTTCATAAACATAACAATTAGAAATTGTTCTATTTCATTAAAAAAAAAAATTAATAGTATCATTATACTAATATTTAAAAAAAACATGTGAATAAGCAAAAATAGGATATATTTCACTATTTAATTACTATTCATTTAGATTGTTGTTATCTTTCATGTCATTGTTGATGGTTTTTTATTTATTCATGGCCCTAATTTTTTTAATGTTTTACTTTAATCTTTAAACTTTTTTTTAGTCCTCACATGTTTATGTTGGAATGTTTTGTTTGTACTGGGGTTTGCTTATTTTCCATGATCTAGCGTGTACGTTGTAAATAAGATTATTTTTTCTACGTTATATAACGATTGCTATTACATATTATAATGTTTTTTCTCTTTTTTTTAATTGTTCAAAAGGTGTCATCCTACACTTTACTCCATCTTTAAAAAACAATTATATTCCATTCATCAAACATCTTTTTTTTTTTTTTTTTAATTTCAACCCTTGACAGTTGAAAGATCCAAGCCAACAACTTGAAAGAAAGAGGGGAGAGAGAGAGAGCGCTTTGATTCAATAAAGATGGTTTAAATGTCTAATCATGCTAGAAAAAATATATTAAAATTTAAAAAGTTTGATTTTATTTTTAGTTTTTACCCTAATTAAAGCATGTTTTGGCCTTAGAAATGAGATTTACGATGCTTTGATAATGCTTTTTATGTGTTTCCAGGTAAGAAAAAAAAAAATTTAAAAATTGAATTTTTAGGTTCTAAAATCCTGAATCCTAATTTTTCAATAGTAATCTGCTCTTTAAAAAAAAAAAAACAAAAGGTAAGGCCAAGGCCCTGATCCTTCTTTTGTAATGTCAAACAAGCGAGCCTGACTTTGATGCTCTTAACCCTCCCTTTTTTCTTTTTCTTTTGTTGGATATTAAAATAAAAGTCTATTTAGATACGTAATTACAATGATATTTAAAAAAATAATTCTTTGTACAAGGAATCTTGCAAGAGAAAAACTACATAAAGGACGAAAAACTACAACAGACAGCTGCAAAAAGTCAATAACTACACGAGAGCGAGGAGAGGAATACTCAACCCTTGTATTCTGGCTCCTTAGCTCAACGAGGGCACAAACAACACTTACAACCAATGAAGTTCATTGCTTTCATCTTTTTATAAAGCAAATCAACTGTTTATTGCAGCGACATGCCAGGCTCATTCGGCAAAGCAATGAAAAAAGCTAATGAATTACCTAAGCAAATGCATACAGAAGGATTTCAAGAGCTTTCAAAATATAGAAAATTGAGCCACCACTAACATTGGCAACATCAAGTTTTTCCTTTCATGTCTTGAATCCTCTTTTGGTGTTTGTTTTGTTCTGTTGGAAGAATTTCGGAACTTGCAATATTTTGTACTATGGCATCCACAGAAGCAGATTTCGGGAATGAATGATTTATATTCTGAGTTCAACTAGGTCACTCTCTAGGAATAATCATGTCGGAATATCCATCCAAATTAATTCCCCAAATCCTAAAAGACACCGACTATTATTCAAGAACGTGATGGAAGGCTTTCTGCATGGTACAGTACGTATCATAACCCCCAAGATTGTACTATTAACCAAGGCCTCTAAGCTCAAGCCTTAACAAATGACACTTGTAATTCATACCTCGGCATACGAGCAAGGTGAGTTTAATAAATAAGACATTGAGTTAAGGACAGAGCAGAGCTATCTGATTTCCTCTTCATCAAGTAGCAAACAGCAACAAAATTACTTTATAGCCATCTCAATGTTGTTCTCAAAGAAGCAAATTGCTAAGAGAGTTGAACAAGGGCACAAGAAAATTTCTTAACTCTGCACCACTACATTAAATAAAAACACAAAAGTATGGGAGGACAAGCAACCACCTTCAAGTAAAGCCAGGGGAACTGGTTTGTGCTGCACCATAACCGCCTCCTCCTCGACCAAAGCCTGGCCTTCCACCAGTGCCCTGCAAGATCATAATATAATTAGAAAAAGAAAATGAATGGAAATACTGGTGGTAGCTAGTCCCTAATGGGAATTAACATTTAGGGAAACTGACGGTGTGAAATTACCCGAAATGCAGGCTGGTAATCTGCTGGTGCTCCTCCCTTCTCACCACCTTCGCCCCCTCGAGGGCCCCCACGATAACCATCACGGTCACCAAATCTTGGACGGTCTCCTTCAAAGCGAGGCGGGCCTCTAGAAACCCAAGGAAACCCAAATAAATTTTCTAAAAAGTGAAGGAAAAGATGAGGATAACACTCAAATCACCAAATGGTCAACATAAATCTAAATTACCGTGGGCGGTCACCAGGTGGGCCACCAAATGGCCGACCTCCAGCAGGCTTTGCTTGTTTCTTCAAGGTGGCAGGAACAATTTCTGATGGAAGATTCAGGTACGTCCTCAAAAACTCAATCCCGTCATTGGTAAGATACCAGTAGTAGTACATCCAAGCAAATGTCTCACGAACATACTCCTTGGATTTGAAGCTCTGCATGAGCTTAATAACCTGGAGATTAGGAACATCAATCTCAGGGTGCTTTGCAAGGTTGAAGTCCTTCTTTGCATAGCAAACTCCCTCTACAGATTCAAGACAAAATTAAGATGAGTGAATGCTGATATATGGTACATGATACGACTGATCTTCCTTTGTCCCATTTGGTTAACTAGAAAAAAACTCACATTATTCAATCAAACCGGTAACATCCAAATAAAGGAAAATACATTAAAACAGGCAATAAACAAAACCAGCCACTAGAAACCAAACCAAAATAGCAACAAACAAGAGTGCAGTCATCTCATAACTAGCACAACAATATCTCTCGTAAAATTTTCTAAACATCAGCAGTTGCCTAGTGGTTTAGGTGTGTTTCAAGTCCTCCAAGTAAGTCATTACCAAAAGCTCTAGCAAAAACCCATTAATTTAACTAACACCAATCCCAAGTGGAGAAATTTATTCGTTAGGGATGAGAATATTAGTTGCATTCCGTTTCAACTATCCAACGCCATAACAAAAAAAAAACAAATCATTTCGAGAGAAAGAGATGTACCCTATAATAAACAAACCAAAATAAGAAGTAAAGGATGGGCCTTGCGTAGACATTATTTTATGAATCTGTCATGACAAAAAAATGTATAATTGTAGCAGTTCATTCCGCACACGAACAGAGAGACTATCACCTTACTGACATCATATCTTAACTGTCTAATCGAGTTCTCATCCTACTTTAGAGTCATTGCACAATTCAATGTTTTTATTTCAAAATTCACGCTTTCTATTAAAAACCTTGAAATGACAAAAAAAAAATGTTTGATGTGTTCTCTCTAGGTAACTTGAATGAGATCTGATGAGGAAAACCAGGCAGAGAAACATCAAAAGCAGTGATAAAAATGATACCTTGAAAGAGGTACTTGGAGATTTCTCTTCTGTTCTTCTCTGGAATAATCTGAAGTCATCATAAAAATAGAACAAAAAAAAAACAGTAAGCAGCTAACTCATGTTCGTGTTTATGTGTTTACATGTTGGGGGGGGAGGTTACCATGGTTGCAGAATGTAAGCCCTTTCGTTTTTTTGCGGCAGCTGCAGAAACGGGAGAAGAAGCTCTTCTTCTAATAGAAAACAAGGGACTTCCAAGTATCAAAACCCTAGTGTTTATATTGGTTAGGTTCTGGGCTGAGTAAACGGATAGCCAGGATGTGGGCTTGTTTAAAAGTCCAATCTTAATTTATTCCTTCTATTTTAATAAAAATTAACACGTTTAGGGGGTGCTGGTCACAATTTTTGTTCCTGTTTTCTATTTAAAAAAAAATATTTTTAATTTTAAAAAAAAATATTTTTAATTTAAAAAATATCAAATCAATAATTTTTTATGTGTTAATATTAAAAATAAATAATTTAAAAATATTAATTTTGAGTAATTTCAATTAAAAAATTATTTTAAAAAACATTATACGAATAATTTTATTTTTTTTAGTTTTAAATCTTAGTGTAAATATTTATTAAATTAAAATTAACCATGTCACATGAGAGTATATTTTTAAAATTATTCAGGGAAAGATTTAATTTTATTTCACGCACAAATTTAATTGAGAAAATCTTACAATAAAAAAGAGATAGAGATAGAGAGGATAAAAATTATTATATTGTTTGTGGATTCTGACAGAAAATGACAACAAGTTATTATAAATAATTAAAATATAAAAATCTGGAATACAAAATCCAATTTTAAATAATAAAAATATAGAAATCTGAAATACAAAATCCAAAGGTAACATTACGGTAAAATTCACTAAAAGTCTTATTTGTTGAGAATTAGTTTTTTTTTTAAATAGTTTTTATGGAAAGTAAGTTCATCATTTATTAATATTTTAATTTTTTAAAGTTTATTAAAGAAATAAAGACTCAATCTAGCAAATAAAAAAAGTTGAAAATTGATGAAATGTTTTTAAAAAATTATAGTTTTATAAATTATTTTAAATAAAATAAATAATAAAAAAATAAAAATAAAATAAAAATAAAATTTAACCAAAAAAAGTTGAAGGGGGTTGAAATAAAAAAACAATCTTATATTATAAATCGAAATCTTATATTATCTTAACATGGGTCAAATACACAAAATGCAACATGGGTTAGATTCGAAGGAAAAATAAATTAAAAGGTTATTTTCAAAACTTAAAAGGTCATACATGAAAAATTAGAAGGAGTCACAAAAAAAATAAAAATCATTATCATTAAACTAGAAATTAGTATGTGACACTCGTTTCCTAAATAAGAAAGAGCCTGATTCTAACTACATTAAAAAAACTATATTAAAAAAAGTTATCTTCAAACACCATATATAATTATACACGTCACTTAAATGAGATGACATATCTAACACAATAGCTATTTTTTATTTTTAAATTATATTTATATTTATTAAATTATTAAATTATTACCTAATCAACTTGATTATTACTAAAAAAATTATTATAAAAATACAAAAAACCCTTGAATCCAATATAACAAAATTTGATATAAAAAATAATTTAGTCATTCCACTTTATTTAAAAAAAAAATAAAGATCTGTAAAGAGTTTTTCGAAATTGAGAAAATGAAAACATTTTCCATGGAAAGACTAGAAAATTTTCTGTGAAATAAAATAATTTTTGACTAATCAACTTTTTTAAATTAAAAAAATATAAATTCCTCCAAATTACTGTAATCATAATTCAAAAGTCAGAATAAGAGAGATTAAGGGTTCAGACTTGATGTTGATGATGAAAGTAATTTTATATTAATAATAATTTCATGGAATATATATCAAGTTCTTATTTTTTGGTGACTCATTACTTATTTTCATAGACTTAGAAACATAAACCAGTATTCTCGATTTTTCTCTGACTGGAATGAAAGAATTTCTTAAATGAACTTGGAGTCTACGATGTGACAACTTTATATAAGAATTAAGTACAGGATTGTTAGTGGGATGTTAATATTATTTTTTAAAATATTTTTTATTTAAAAATATATTAAAATAATATTTTTTAAAAAATTATTTTTAATATTAATATATCAAATATAATATAGATAATCTCATCTCATCTAAATAAATAAGTGGGGATGTAAGAGAATTTATTGTTTTAGATAATGTTCTTATATTTTTTAAAGTATTTTTTATATGAAAATATATAAAAATAATATTATTTTTATTTTTTAATATTAATATATCAAAATAATTTTAAATAAAAAAATCATATCACCAAACAACACCACAGACGTGTCCCAAACACTACCTACTATCTTAGTTTTCTCCCACTAACAAAGTTTGTTTAATTGCTTGATCTTTTAATTTTAATAGTCTTCACATTCAAAAGAGTGAACTTTAATGCGAAATTCAGAAACATATCTATGGTACCGTGATTCAAGTTATATCGTTATTGTTTAAAATAATGTTTTTTTTTTTTGTTTTTTTAAATTAACATAGGTGTCCGGATCAGCTTTCACGCACTACGACTAATCCCACGAGCCCTAAAGTTAACGATCATATAACCCTTTAATAACCATCATATAAATGACTAAGAACTCGAACCTGAAACCACAAAAAGAGTAAATCTCTTGATCCCAGATTCTTACCACTTGACTACCACCTAAATAGTTATTTTATTTTTATTCTTGGTTTTGATCCAATTAAATTTGAATCAAGCTTAACCGAATCAATATCAAAAATTCATAAAATTAAAACCAAGTCTAGATCAGATCTTGAATGATGAATTTGACGAAAAACCTGCAGACCAGATATAACCATGCTACTGCACTGCATGACTAAAATTAGCTCTGTTCCTCACACAATGAAAGAACGAATACTGAAGTTTTATAGCATGCAAAAAAAATAGATGGAATGGGGAAGACATACAAGATACACAAAAGCAATAATTTCCTGTCATCCAAATTGTCTGAATTGGTTCTCATCACTTCCGATGGACGAAGTAAAGTTATAACTTGAGCTGATACTGCAAATTTCCAAATTGGAGGTAGCGATGTATGCTTCAAGAGACGAGGGAACAGGCATGTTGGTTTCCAACATATTCACAATCTGATCAAATGGTGGCCTAGCATGTAACACTGGATGAGCACAAGTAAGAGCAATGTGCACATACTGCTCCATCACCTCCGGTGATCCCATTTCAGGCAGGTTTTCTTCAATAATATCCAATCCTCTCCCTTCCCTTGCTAGTGACCACGCCCAGTCTGTCAACAGAGAAACATTTCCTTCATTGATTTCATAAGCCTTTTTTCCACTCAGAAGCTCAACAAGCACAACACCAAAGCTGAAGGCATCGCTTCTTTCGGTTAACTGCCCATACAAGGCATACTCCGGGGCAACATAACCGAGAGTCCCGGCAACCCCGGTGCTAAAATGTGTCATTCCCTGTGAATTGAACCTTGCAAGGCCAAAATCTGCAACTTTAGGCTCAAAATTGTCATCCAAAAGTATATTACTAGCTTTAATATCCCTATGGATTACTGCTGGATGCACCCCATAGTGTAAATAAGCCAACCCCCTTGCGGTTCCAAGGGCGATCTTTTGACGAATCGGCCAGCTAAGTTTTGTTTTTCCTGATTCGAAAAGATGGTTGTAGAGACTTCCATTACGCATCAAATCGCACACGATGATCCTTTGGGGAGCTTCTGGAGGAACTGCTGTGGTGCAGTAGCCTCTTATAGAAACAAGATTGACATGCCTTACACTGGCTATGATTTCCACTTCATGTGCAAAAGTTGCAGCACCGCTAGCAGAACAGTTCTTGAACCTCTTGAAGGCGACTTCAGACCCATCTGATAACATCCCTTTGTAAACATTCCCATAACCCCCCCCTCCAATAATATTATGTGTAGAGAAATTCACTGTTGCCTTTCTAATTTCCTCAATTCTGAATTTGACCAAATTAGTGCCTCTACTATGCAATCCAAACCCAAGATCCAAACTAAGCTCGCCATCCTCAGGACTAACCTTTTCCTTCTCACTTCTCCCGTGTCGCGTCCGGCGTAACCAAACTGCGATGAAGCCTCCCACGACTCCAAACATGGAACCCACAACAATGCCAGCAATTACAGCACTGTGATACCTGTAGGCGGTGGACTTCATTGAATACTTCAGCCCGAACAAGCATTCTGCAGTTCCGGGATCAGTCGGTCCAAACTGATTAATAACTGCAGCTGTATACATGAACAAATAACCTGGACAATCTGAGGCATTCTCAGGTCGAGGACCATGAAGATACTGATTCCCAAGACTTAACAATTTCTTGGTACAATAATTACAAACAAGGTCATCATCCAGGGATTGTTTACAATAAAGCTTCATCTCTTGCAACTTAGACGTGGGAAATTTGCTCTCAAACTGAGCCAGAGATGTAATATTCATGCAGCCCTTTGATATCCATTCAGCTTGATAACCACAACCAGACTGGATATCAAGACCAGCTGAAACCTCGTGAATCAACTCCCTGTACGATTGCCAACATGCCTGAAATGTATCAGCAGGAGGAACAAAGTATCTGTTGGTTCGAAGATATACTGACCGAATGAAACGAATTCCATCATGAACGAACTGACATTGTTTAGGCACAGCGATAAATGAACGTTTTGGATGAGCTGCGCTGACTAGCTCACGAATGACGTTGATATTTAATGGGCAAGAGTCTTCAACAAGGTTTCTGTGTGAGATTTCAAGACAATCAGCACTTCGAAAACAGAAATCCGAAAGGGTTAAGAGTAGGACTAATAGAAAAAACTTGAACTGAAAGAGGAACATCTCTGAGTTATGGTTTCACAAGACTTGAAAACCATGATTCCACCCTCAACTTTCATGGGAATTGATAATCATAACATTATATTTATCATTGTCTCAGCTTCATATATTATTGGCCTTTTCGGGCAATCAGTGGATGGGCGGCAAGAGTTGGAATGAGTCTTAACTTTCAGGAGAGGAGGAGTAGTTCATTTGTCTATGCTGATATTGATTCCTTAACAACTACGTACATTCGTAGAGCCTATGTGACTTCATAGGATATGTATTAAATTTAACGTTTGGTTTTTAACACATAGTTATCGACATGGAATCGTTTGAAAATCATGAAATGAAATATTTGAATCAGTCACGTCGATCTTTCAAGAGGGACAGCCTTAATTAATTTATTTGCTGCCATGCAATCAAACAATTCACATAAGTTAAAGGATATCTAGGCCCTTCTTGTGAAGTTAAGTAGCTGATGCTTTGAACTACTGTGCTTCAATAAAAACAAAGCAAGGTGCTATAAAACCGAATGGCGCAGAAGCTGCAGCATCTTCGATTTGCCTTACTGGGCACTGAAATCATACTTGAAATCCCTGAACTCATGCCACCTGCTCTGGACATGACTATTTTTTAAAAAGCGAGAACAGAGACAGCCTGATAATAAATATTCATTGGATTCCCTTTCCTTTCATGTCCCATATGGCCCATATCTACCCATTCTGGTTAACTTATTCGTCTCTCTCTCTCTCTCTCTCTCTCTCTCCAATCCCTTATAAGCTAGATGTGTTGTCGTGTTGTATGCTATGACTGGTGGCCAGTCTACATTAAACCCAAACGTCTCCCCGTTTATGTACATGGTAAAAGTAGACCGAATGGGCCGTGCCATATCCGACTCTGATTTCACAAGACGAAGCTGCTCACATGAACTACCGGAATAAGATATGCTCCTAACGGCTAACAGGGAAGATACTCATAACGATGATCCTTTGGAATATGCCGGTTGCCAGTTTTCTCTCGAGAATTGTGCCCAGATTTTTACTGCAAGATGCCCAGCGAAGCAGCTAGAAGCTAGGTTTGCATCACGAACCAATGCCCTCCTCGCAAGTCACGAGTCCCTTGAAACTCAAGGCAGATGGCAACAACCCCGATGTGGTTTAGATGGGGTAAAATGCGACAAGTCACCTTGAATTATGGATCCAATCACAAACTATCATTTAATAAATTATTTAGTGCGGTTTGTTTTGCATAAAATGTTTCATAGGTACAAAATAACTTACACGTAGTTCGTGTAATATTTTTCAATACCGGTAATGGTGAGATGATAATGATTGCAGTGTCAAGATGGTCATGTTGATAGTGAAAAAAATAATGATGGTAATAAAAAAGATAAAAATAATAGTGGTAAAAAGAAAAATGGCAGCAAGATATTTGCAGCAACGAAGGAGGAGGAGCTAGTGATGAAAGATAAGGTGTTGGTAGTTGTGGTTAGTTGGAGATGATGTATGATATAGTTATAGATAATATTGTAAGTGAATTGTTATTTGTAAAATATTTTATAGAATTTTATGGGTTTAAAATATTTTATATTTATCAGTTTTTTTGTAAAATATTTTCTAAAAACAAATGCTGAAAAATCTAAAAATATTTTATATTATATGCATAACAAACAGTCCATTAGTGTAACCTAGTTTGTATGCTTGCATGGCACCACTTTTTTTTTTTCAATGTAAAAAAAAATATTTAGGTCTTAGTGAATTCTTTGATGCTATTATTAAATTAAAAAATAAGGTCATTTTGAATTATTTTCAATCAAGATAAATTTTTTTATTAATGTATTTTTTGTTTATTTATCGAAAGCTAAGTTTTTAATTAGAATTATTATCTCTGTTAAGAAAATAAATATTTTTTAATTATCAAAGTAATTGTTTTTAAAAAATTACTTATAATTTGTTATAGGAAGACACAATTATATATATATATATATATAGAAGGCCAAAGTATAAAAACACAAAGAAACCAAGTCCACAGTAAAAAAAAAATGACGTGAAAAAAGTCACCTTGATCCACATCCTTTCCTTTGGATTCGTTTTCAATTCCTCTTTTTTTCTTCGAAATTGATTTTAACTAGTGGAAGAATCTAATTAGTTTTAATTTTTTTAGTAAAAACTTTTGAAAATCATTTATTCATGGATTAATTCTACTATCATCAATAGCTTTAAGAGATTTGTTACTTTTGTTTTTTATTATCGATGTTTTAAAATTTAATAATTAAATTGATTTGAGAATACTTTATATATAGAGAGAGAGACGTCAAATTTGATCAAAATCTCAACTATTGAATTTGTTACGGGTCAACAACGGGTTTGAATTTGTTATAAAACCTCAATGTTTTAAATTGTTTTTATTCAATTTGATTTTTATTTTTAAAAATTTTATTTTTTGAATTTAATTAGTCCTTCATTATTTTCTTTTATTTATTTTTTATATTAAATTTAATTTTTATTATTTTGATTATATTTTGTATTGTTTTTCGATCTTTAATGATTAAAAATTTTGCTTCATGATTTCTTATATTTAATTTCTATAAAGTAATTTTAGTTTCATGATCTAAGTTATAAATTTTAAAAACTAACATGATTTAACTTTGAATTTTTAGGTTTTTTTTTAAAAAAATTTATCATTTAATATTAAGTTATTTGACTTTGAGCTTCATGATCGTTTTCTCTCTCTTTTTTTTTTTTATAGAGTTATCTTGATTTTATATCATGAGTCGTGGTTTAATCAAATTAACTCAGGTTGCCTAGATTTTTTTACTTTATTTTAAATTAATTTTTTTTAGTTTTATTTTTTATCATTTTACTTACTTGAAGGTCAACCTTCATTGTTTCATTTAATTTCTCTCATGTAAGATTATTTTAATCTCACTATAAATTTAATATATTAATTTAAGTAAGGTTTTTTTAAATTGTTTTTTTTGTTTGTCGTTCAATATTCTTTATTAACAATTATATTTTATTTTATTTTTATTTTTCACATTATAAAATTGTCATGTTCTCATCCAATTTTTGTATTGTTATTTAAGATCATTATAATTTTTTAATAATATTTTTATTTTGTTATCAATTATATTTTCATTCAGATCAAGACTGGCAGTGCAACGCGAACCACCTGCCTAGCATGAATTGTCGTCGACTATGTTAATGTGCATGGCTTTCTTGATATGTGACTCCATCAGCCATGATTACTACTTAAAAAATGTAGGAGCATCGACCGGCATGGTAGGGACCATCCCTGACTCCGATTTCACTGAACATACATACCTAACATGAACATTAATGGAGTTCTTCGAGTTCCTGTTTCAACTGCATGACAAGCCTCTAAATTCATGCAAACCTAAACGTATTTATCACATAAATAAGATTAAGTTCAAGAAGAAGTCTAAACGTATGACCATAAATTTTTACTTGATTACTGCGCTCAGCAAGTCTTGTTCTTATAAAACCCGCCGGATAATTCCCGTTGAGGTAGAGAGCGTGGCTAAAATTTAGCCGGATTATCCTAAGAACAAGCTGGTGTTTTTTTTTTTTTTCAATTTTTATCTCCTGTTATAATATAATGCACAGGCCAAGATGTGTCGAGGATATGGTGGAAGAAAATGATTAATTATAGAAGAAACGACAGTCAGATTATTGAACTCCGGGCAAGGCACGAAATTAAACAATTACTCCATGCATAAATTCCTTGATTCTGCCGTTTTTCAGTGTAATTTTCTCTTGTTGTGCTCTTCCTGTTTCCCATGAGACAAAACAACATTCTTCATGTATTTTCTCTTTCAGAGATATAAAAATAACATTAGGCTTTGTTTATTGTAATTTATGTGTCTTTGGTGTTGTGGTAAAATGTATTTTTTAAAAATATTTTTTTAGATTTGATACAATATATTAAAATCATCAAAAAAATGAAAACAAAATTAATTTTAATATTTTTTAAGACAAATTATAATTTTAGAATATATTTTTAAACACGAAAACAAACTATTAATGTGGTCATTATTTCCCTTATAATAAGTTTTTTGGTTGTCAAATTGGCTTGTCATTGCACATTTCAATTTATAGAATCGTTGAAGTCTATAGTGTTTTTTTTTAAATTAAAAAATACATTTTTTTAATAATATTCTATATAATTTAAAATACAAGTGAGGTTTCACTACAATATAAAATTAAAAAAAAAAGGATATTTTATTAATGTGACTTGCTAATCTTATTAATAATTTATAATATATAGGAAAATACATAAGCAAATATAAAAGACAAATCAAAATTGTGAAATTCACAACCAAATTGATTTATTTGAAACAGACTTTGAGCTATTAAATTGTGAAATATTAGGTATCTAACAAAATAAGTTCTAGTTTACTTAGATTCTAACTTGGAAATTAGAATTGAATCTCTCTTGTTGATGTACTTGAAATCCTTTTTTTTAATTCAATGATAAATAATTTTTTTTTTTAGCATAATTTACTTATCAATCAAGACAAATCTTTTTCTTGACAATATTAAAGAGCATGCTCTGCACATCTATTTAGTTTGCTTTATATATATAACTTTGTGATTCAAAATCAGATAATAATAAAAAAGAACAAATTTCTTCAATAGCTGAAACGATTTTTTAAAATTGTATAATTGAAAATGATATTTTATAATTTCAATGAAGAAAATAAATAAATAAATAATATTCAATTAAAATTCAAAAGAATAATTCTAATCTTGTGTTTTTTTTCAAATCACCTTCTAAAAACCTCTGAAATTCAGCATTAAATTTATAGAATCTATTAATTCAATGCACCAAATTAAATAAAACCAATATTATTACTCCAATAAAAAGTAAAATGTGGGCCCAAACATGAAAGAAGGAGCCCACATGGACCCAACATTTGAATATTAGCAATTTTACCAACCAACGAACACTCCATGTCCCTCTCCCTGTCTGTGCCTGTGCCTGTGGGATTTAAGGCTGAG